TATAGCCCTATAACATGCAAAAAAAAGCAAAAAAGCACGTAAACACTGGGTATTTTTAAACTCAGGACAAATTTTTGAATCTATTTAGCAGTTTTTTTCATTCGCTTTTGTAGATGAGTAAAAGATTTTTCAAGTAAAAGTCAAAAAACATGTATTTTTTTCAATTTTTCATCAGATTTTTTTATTTTTTTTAAATTAAAATACATGAGATTATATAAATAATGGTATGTAAAAAAAGCCCCTTTTGTCCTGAAAAAAACAATATATAATTTGTATGGGAACAGTAAATGAGAAAGCGGAAAATTACAGCCAAACACAAACACCACAAAAGTGTAAAAATATTCCTGGTCGCAAATGTACAACATCGCAAAAACAGTCCAGTCCTTAAGGGGTTAATATGAATAAAATATAAACAAATGTGAGAAATTAAGACATTTTGTTATTTTTTTAGTTCTGCATGGCATTTTAATTGTGAATGTCATAATAATGTTAGCTGTTACTGCAATAAAGTACACACATTTGTATTCAGCGATGTCTCCCTAGTAAAACAGTACCCCCATGTACAGGTTTCATGGTGGTTTGGAAAGTTACAGGGTCAAATATAGCCTGTTACATTTTTCAGTTTATACACATTGAAATTTGCAATGGCTGGTTATGTTGCCTTTGAGACCAAATGATAGCCCAGAAATGAGAATTACCCTCATGATGGCATACCATTTGCAAAAGTACAAAACCCAAGGTATTACAAATGGGGTATGTCCAGTCTTTTTTAGTAGCCACTTAGTCACAAACACTGGCCAAAGTTAGCGTTCATATTCATGGTGGGATAAGACACATGACTGGACAGTTAACTTAAATGGGTACACGTTATTTAGGAAGGATAGGAAAAACAAGAAGGATGGTGGGGTATGTTTGTATGTCAACTGTAAGTTAAAGTCAAATCTTAGGCATGTGGAGTGTGACAAGGAAAATGTGGAAGCTTTATGGGTAGATATCTGCTTGGGGCAAAAGAAGGGAAATCAATTATTGGTTGGGATATGTTATAAACTACCTAACATAAATATTAATGAGGAAGAACAGCTGTTAGAGCAAACTGGGCAAGTTAGAGCAATCGGGGTAACACATTAAAGGACCACTATAGGCACCCAGACCACTTCAGCTCAATGAAGTGGTCTGGGTGCAAGGTCCATCTAGTGTTAACCCTGCAGCTGTAAACATAGCAGTTTCAGATAAACTGCTATGTTTACACTAGGGTTAATCCAGCCTAGGGTTAATCATGGTGAGAAGATGCTGGACGTCCATAGGAAAGCATTGAGAAATGCTTTCATATGGACTGATTGAATGCACGCGCAGCTCTTTCCGTGCATGCGCATTCGGCGCTGACGTTGGCAGAGGGAGGAGAGCTCCCCAGCACCGAGGGAGCCCGGCACTGGAGAAAGGTAAGTGTTTAACCCATTCGGCCCCCTTCAGCCCAGTGGGAGTGGGGGGGGACCAAATTAGGGAAGTTAGAGCAATCGAACCCTGAGGTTGGGGGTTACCAAATTGGGCAAGTTAGAGCAATTGGGGTTTCATGTTAAAGGACCACTATAGGCACCCAGACCACTTCAGCTCAATGAAGTGGTCTGGGTGTCATGTCCATCTAGTGTTAACCCTGCAGCTGTAAACATAGCAGTTTCAGAGAAACTGCTATGTTTACACTAGGGTTAATCCAGCCTCTAGTGGCTGTCTCACTGACAGCTGCTAGAGGCGCTTCCGCGCTTCTCACTGTGAAAATCACAGTGAGAAGACGCTGGACGTCCATAGGAAAGCATTGAGAAATGCTTTCCTATGGGCGGTTTGAATGCGTGCGCGGCGCCGAGAGCTCCCTGGCGCCGAGGGAGCCTGGCCCTTCAGCCCAGTGGGAGTGGGACCCTGAGGGTGGGGGGGGACCTAAAGACCTTATAGTGCCAGGAAAACGAGTTTGTTTTCCTGGCACTATAGTGGTCCTTTAATTATTGGAGATTTTAGCTACCAGGACATAAATTGGGATAGAGTGACTAGTACTTCAGCAAGGGGAATCAGGTGTCTGAATGTGTTAAATGACACCTATGCAACAATATGCAATGTCAATCAGCAGTGGCCAAGGCCAGTAAGGTGTTGTCATGCATGAAAAAAGGCATTCATTCTCGGGACGAGAATATAATTTTGCCTCTTTATAAATCACTGGTAAGACCACATATTGAAAATGCTGTGCAATTTTGGGCACCTGTTCTAAAGAAGGATATTATGGCACTAGAAAAAGTGCAGAGGCGGGCTACAAAATTAATAAAAGGAATGGAGCATATCAGCTATGAAGAAAGGTTAACAAATTTAAACCTATTTAGTTTAGAAAAACATTGCCTGAGAGGGGATATGATAACATTATACAAATATATTCGGGGGCAATACAAACCATTGTGTAGAAATCTATTCACAAACTGGACTTTACATATGACATGAGGCCATGCGTTTAGACTGGAAGAACGAAGATTTCGTCTAAGGCAAAGGAAAGGTTTTTTTTTACTGTAAGAACAATAAGGATGTGGAAGTGGTTTTATCAGAGTCCATACAGATGTTCAAACAGCTACTAGATGCATACTTGCAAAAACAGAATATTCAAGGATATAATCTTTCAATGTAGGGTAATAACTGCTTAATCCAAGGATAAATCTGACTGCCATTCTGGGGTCAAGAAGGAATTTTTGGATCAACAGCAAAAAACAAATGTGAGGAAGGCTGAACTTGATGGACGCAAGTCTCTTTTCAGCTATGTAACTATGTAACCTTTATGTCACAACTGGTACAAGCACCAACTAAAAAGGATGCTTGTCTTGATCAACATTCAAGTAGGGGAGCATTTGGGAAATAGTGATCACAATATGGTAATTTTTTTAATAAACTCAAAAAAGCAAAAACACGGGGGGTATACTAAAAGGTATAATTTTTAAAAAGCCAATTTCAATAAGATTAGGGAAGCTCTACAACATATTGACTGGCATAAACTCATTAGTGAAAAAAACGCTGAGGATAAATGGAAACTATTCAAACAAATATTAGAAAGGTACATTTCTTAGTATGTACCATTGTTTAATAAATATAAAAGAAACAAATTGAAACCAATGTGGCTTAGTAGAGAAGTAAAACAAGAGATTAATAATAAGAAAAGGACATTTAAAGCATTTAAATCGGACAAATCAGAGGCATCCTATATAAGATGTAAGGAAGCCAATAATGCTTGCAAAAAGGCAATTAAAGTGGCTAAACTAGAAAATTAGAAATCGATAGCCAAAGAATGCAAAACCAACCCCCAATAATTTTTTCAAGTACATCAATTCTAAAAAAACAAAAAATGAAAGGTACACTGAAAACAGAGATGGCAGACATTTTAAATAACTATTTTTCTTCAGTATATATTAATGAGGATCCTATGGCAAGAGATATGCAAATGATTGCTGCAAAAAACTTGCAGATAACTTGTGATTGGATGACTCAAGACAAGGTGCTACAACAGTTAAAGAAAATTAATGTAAATAAAGCTCCAGGGTCTGACGATATTCACCCATGAGTACTTAAGGAGCTAAGTGGGGAAATTAGTGAATCTCTGTATTTAATTTTTCAAGATTCTTTTGTTTCAGGTATTGTACCGGGGGATTGGAGGAAGGCAGATGTCGTTCCTATATTTTAAAAGGGTTCAAAATCCTTGCCTGGAAATTATAGACATGTGAGCTTAACTTCTGTGACTAGGAAAATATTTGAAGGGCTATTAAGGGATAATATTCAGGAATTCATTGGGAAGAACTTTGTTATTAGCAATAATCAGCATGGTTTTATGCAACATAGGTCATGTCAAACTAACCTGATTGCATTCTACGAAGAAGTAAGTAGAAGTATAG